TCCGAAAGCTAAAGAGGATGATGTTGTAGAGAATAAATTATTCTAAAGAAATATTTCAAATTAATCTTAATGAACTATATTAAGATAAAATATATATTAATAAGAATGAAATATCATAAAATTGGATAAAAATAAAAGAATTATAAAGGGAGAAAAATATTAAAAGTTGCAAAGAAATAAGAGACATAGAGTGAAAAGCTGGAGGAGTATATAAAATATAGACTAGATAGTAAGGGTTAAAACTAAATATGTAAATTATATTAACTTAAAAGAAAGAGCTAAAGGGAAAGGGAAATCAGTATTTCCTTAAGACATACATGTAACATACTCTTTATATGCCTGGTATATAACTTATAAATTGCGATACACACGTATACAATCAAAGAGCTATGACATGGACAAACGTCACCGAACCTATTGAGTCTTTGACCTCAGCGAACAGATCCCAATTAAAGGCACGGTTTGTTTGCCTTGAAGCCGAAATGAAAATCGATATGAGGAGCGTGCAATAAAACGGTAAACGTTCTTGAAACAATTTGACATTAACTATGAACTGGGTTCAACTTTAAAACAGCGACTCACGTTTAAAGTTAGTTAATACCTATTTTTCAAAACAAAGAACGGAAAAGTCTTCTATATAATACGATGTATCCAGACTCTCGAAGTATTTTCTCCAATTGAAAAAATTAAGCAACTGGAATATTTGCACAGGACTAGAAAAATAACACTCATATTTACAATAAATATGCAACGGTAAATGATGGATTATCCTTAATAGATTTTTCTTAGGTAAATTAATTGCAATAATCATGGTTAAAAGAGCTGCGGGTGAAAGTATCCAACTACCGCCTTACGGCGATTATCAGGTTCCAGTGTTAATTAGCGTGTCATTATTTATAGCGCAGTGCTTTGTGGTTGGTTGGTCGCACACGCCGTGACGTCATGACAGCATACGAGAAATCAATAAACAAAGACGTCATGAATTTGGGTGGCGACGCGTGTCCGTGACGGGCTACATGGACATGGACATGCTCTGTTAATTGCGCTCGCAACATGAATGAAAGCTTCGGAGCATCTGGTGAGTGCGCTGGCAGAGGCAGAGGCAGAGGCAAAGGCAGAGACAGAGACAAAACGCCGGCCGGCAACGGAGGTTCGTCCACGCCGCGACGTTGCTGTTGCTCTTGTCTGCACTGCTGCGGATATTGTGCTCTCGCTCTGACCGGCAGCGGTCACGTGCGTCAGTGACGTCGCGGTTACTCACTGCACTCAATTTATTGGCATCTCTCTCTATGTGACGTCAGAGTTGTTTGCCACCTGCTGGACTGCTCCAATTGACAGTATATATAGCGGCCTCTCGCTCGCAATGACGTCACAGCAAAACTGGTGTGCGTGGGGTTTTTATACCCTTGCTGAGGTCATTACAATTTTACCAAGAATTGTGTAACGAAAAGAAGTGGGCATTCCCGACCCAGTAAAACAATTGTGTTACGCAAAGAGGTAGGCTTTTCCGACCCCGTAAAATATGTTCATTTCTGATCAGGTCGAAGAACAAAAACCTGTTTTTTAATAACTTGATCAACGTTTTGTATACATCCTTGCTTTACTTGTTTGCATGTTTTAAAAAGGACTCTTAAAAGGCAAATTTAATTATAATTACTCTTAACTTATGACAATAATTTTTCCAATATGATAAAGCAAAAGTATACAAATGTATTGAAATAATGTTGTAGGCTGTGAGGGTATTTAATCTTCAGTTCTCCGCAGATAACTGTACATTCTCGCTTGGCCTTCGCTGCTCATGTCCTTCCTACGATATTAACGATGATGTCACAACTCTCTTGCACTTGACTGCAGCGCCAATATAAATAGCCAAAGGATAACGACACGTGCAGGCGTTTTTGCAGGTTAAAATAGTTTCTGATTAGCATATCTAAAGCGATTTTCCAATAAATTTATAGTAGGCATTTTAAGCGTTAATGTGAGTAAATGTGTTCGACGCAGTCGACCGTTTTTTCAGCAGGCTTTAAATAGGTAGGAGGGAAACAATTTTAACCTCAGCCCCGACTCGAACCACCAGACACTGAGAAGTGCGACAGCTTGATACTCTGCCCACTGACCTACAAGCATTTAGTGCTGTCAATTAAGCTACTTTTTACCTAAGCTATTTAAGCTATTAGCTATTTATGGCTTCTCATTAAAGCCCCAGAATCCCAGTGGCATATTTATTGCGAGATTTTTTTAGTTATTCCTTATAGGAAACTGCTTCAAAAGAAACTGCGCAGCTTTTTGCATTTTTGTGTCCCAACATTGTGCACTTAATCCTGAAGACCGCCTTGCCAACTTTTGCTTAGAATGTCAATTCAACTATTTTCGTTTAAAATGGCAACACTGGCAGCATTAGTAAATTCAACACAGTATTTATTACAGTACGGTGCATGCAGTGTGTGTATGTGTGTGTGTTAGTAAGGCAAAGGCAAATGCAAAAGAAAATGTGTAAGAAAGAAAGATCGGAAGTAAAATTCAAAATAGAAATGACAATAACAAACGGTTTACTTTGGTTTTGCGCCAACCAAAAAAGTTGTGTTACTGCGGTTTAATAGTTCGGCTATGATATTATATTATTAAATCAATCGAGCAACTAAAATAGTACAAGTACATAGTACATAGTAAAAGACTTTTAAGTTCCAATTGGAACTGTATGAAAAAATTGTATCCGTAACGCTGGCACTTGAAAATGTTTTAACTGCACGTGAGATTTCCATAAATTATGTGGCTTGTCATTTACAAGGAGCAAAACAATATGCTGGACAGTTGAAGTCTGAAATGAAATGCACACAAAAACGTTGCCGGCCAAGTTGCAAGCAGATGCCAAGCCGCATTCAAGCCGCATCCGAGCCGTTCGTTCATGTGAAGCCTCTGTTTATGGCGGTTTTCGCACCCGTGGCGCTCGGACGGCGGCTGGCTCTCGCGACTTGACCTCGACCTGTCCCGTCTTCTCATGCTCAGGGCAATACAACGTTCAAATAACCAATGCTCGGCATATTATTTATGTGCATTGAACGAGAAACACTTAGAACTAGAAACTAATATCTGCAGACGCAGACGCAGACCTGGGCAGCGAATAAGCGACAGTAGTCTCCGTGGCTTGGCACGATTACATCTTTATACTCTGAACCGTATAGATGTGTATCGTCTGATAGCTGCGTGTAAAATTCCAGCTAAGCCATGCACCTCGGTCAACAATTGAAGGCAGCGACAAAGCCACAACATGCGATTGTTAAGTCAACGGGTTTGTCAAACTGCCGACAGAAACACGGCTTCGATTCGATTGGCACCTTGACAAGCCTGCAAACATCTTAAAATGGCAATTGGCACCGAAGATGATGACGGTAATATTGCCAGAGCTGGTGCCGCTTCTGCCGCCGCTTCTTCTGCTTCTGCTGGAGGTGGCGCTGAAGCTGTGACTGGAGGTGAAGTTTTTTATGTGAGACTCTATGTGTTCATATACTAAAGTAAGTGAGATAAGGAGACCTTTTCAATAAGTTTACTTGAAATTAAACAATTCAGAATGCTCGACTAGAAGTTATCCTGTGCCCTGAAACAGGAACTTCCACACACGCCGCGCAATAAGAATCCGAGTAGAACTTGGTGCCTACCCATGAGTACTTCTCGGGGCGTGGATCTTCCGAATATAAGTATTAGTATAAACAGAATCTTCAGATGAACTGAGTACCATATACTTTTTTATACAGGTATTGCTTCTACGAAAAGCATTCTCGGCTAACTTCGGAGTTTATTGTCCGATCTTTATGAAATTTTCGGGGCATAAGTATAATTTCCAAATGTGGGTAAATATTAAGGGGGTACAGGGAAGTATTCTGGATGTTTATACTATAACTCCTAGGTATCTCTAGGTCTTAGATGTCGATATCTATTATTGTAGATTTCTTGGGGAGTTATCAATGGTTCGAGTTTAAGTCTCAGACATATCAAAGTCTATCAAACATAACAACAGGCGGAAGAGTGGACGGATGTATCACCTTCGCGATCAAGTTTACCTTAAGCTTACCCTGTTCATCTAGAATCGATAAGTATCGATTTTCACCAACCAGAGCTAGAGTTTGACTCACCAAATTTTGTACTAGACCTTCATAGAGATCCATAATATTTAACATATTGGTACTCTTGATCTCTGCATGCTATCTAAGATTATATATTTGAAATTTAAGGACTTAAACTGTTATAGGCAGAAGAGGAGACTCCATTATTCAAGAATGGAGTCTGAGAAGGAAATTCGAATTATGGCAGCTGGCTCTGGCTACAGAATATTAGCTAGTCAGGTATATTTAATCCAATTGTACAAAGGTATTTCCCAACATAGTTTAATTTAGAGTTGCCTGCCATATTAAGAGACTCTTTCTTGCTTTCTTCTGTGCTGCTGATCAAGAGCAAAAGCAAACCCGTAGATGGTAATTAAACTATGCTGATCATACAACTAAAACTCAATCATATTACAAATCTTGGCGCGGGAATTCCATCGATCGGCGCATCCGAGGAAAATGTCAAGCACGCTAACCCGGCAGAAGAAGTGCATAATTAGTCAGTGCAAAAAACCAGAAAGGCGAAAAGCCACCAGCGCAGCAGACACCTGAACATGTCAAGGCGATTTTTTTGTTGTTGTTTCTGAATATGTTTGTGGAGGCAAAGACGATGTCAATGGGTTATGTGTACTACAACTAAGTCAGAGCGATCGCGATCGCCGTCTATTTAAGGAGACCGTCGAGGTCAGCTGCAGCTTGTTGCCATTGTGATTGTGGCCGCGAGTGCGAGTACGACTACGAGTACGAGAACGTAGCACGCAACAGCCGCCGGACCGAGACGGGCCGATGACTAAGGCTAACCACCGGCCACAGGTGAGCAAGCGGTCTGACTAGACTGCCGGCTGACTGCGGGCTTCCTGCTGCTAACACAGACATCATTTCAATTGGCGTACGGCAAAGTTCAAGCAACAATTGAATGCGAAATTTATTGCGACCGATCGGTCAGTCGAATTGAAACGAAGTGAATCGAATTATTTTTATAAATGTTTCAAATGGATTCTCGCTTTTGATTATCAAACGGCCAGTCCGTAAAAGTACACGCTCGCAATTATCCGATACCGATCGGTAATTGAGCATTGTGTGAGGTTGCGATCATAAATACAACTATAGCCAGTACTTCCTTGTGGACACCCTCTGGCTCAGCTCGACCCAATCGTAAAGTTCAGCTTAACTCTGTTGAGGGGCTTTAAATAATCGGGATGCTGCATGGCGCAGTAGTTAATTTCCTAAAATTGATTTGGAACTGAGTCACCTACCTGGAGCAGTGCAGGGCAGATCTTTGTGTCTTCCACGTTCAGCGTCAATGTTCGGTCTGCCGTCTTGCCGCAGCAATAGACGGCATTCAGCACAAACTGATCGGTGATCTGATCACAGCCCTTGACATCGATGCGAGCCAGTTGGGTGCACTTGCGCACCAATCGCATGAGGCCCACGTCGGTGACCCGCCCGCACCAGGACAAGCCGAACAGGCTCAGCCCGGTCAGCTCATTGAAGAACTTGAAGTGGTCGTCCTCCAGCACGTCGTTGTCGCACCAATGGAACTCCGTCAGGCTGCTGAGCTGGCCCAGGCAACGAGCATGCTGGTTGCTAATGTCAAACTGTCCAGATAGCTTTAAAAATGTTAGCTTGTTGCCCTTCTTTTCGGCTAGGGTTGAGAGGAAGCCCAGGTTGAGCTCATTGGAGGTCATCCAGGTTTTGAGTGTGCATCGCTGCAGATTGGGCAGCTGGGCAATGATCTCAAAGTTGGCATCACATCCAGAGAAGGAGAGTTCCTCCAGTTCCAGACAGCATTCGGCTATCTTTTGGTAGAGCGACTGATTCATCACCTCAAAGCAACAGTCGTCCAAGACGAGTGTGCGCAGCTCCTTTAGGGGAATGCCAAACTCGCCCGAATTCCACAGCAAACAGTCCCGGAGCACCAGCCTCTGGAGCTTGGAGAAGCCGCACAGGTGTTTGCCTACGGTCACAAGCAATCCGAGTTTAGCTGGCATTTTGAATATATTGGCTTACCAGTGTAGCAGCCATTGATCAGCTCAAAGGACTCCAACTCCGTGTTGCCCTCCAGATTCAAGCTGAGCACGTCCTCCGCATCCATGCAGTCTATGCTGACACGCCGCAGACCCGTCAGACGCGACAACAGCGAGCAATAGCGAAACTCATCCGTCACGTTGGTATAGTATATCTCTTCCAGAGTCTTGCAGTACTCCGCAATGAACTCGACCAGCAGCGACTCCTTCTGAAAGGACGCGCAGTTGACCAACAGCACCTTTATATAGGGCCCGGCCACCTTGAAGAAGTCTATGATTTCGGGCAGCACCATCTGCTCCACATCCTCCGCCTTCAGCGTGTGCCTATGCGCCCGCGCCCAACTCTCGAAGGCGTGCCGAAACTTGGGAGCCACACACGCTAGTCGCACCTTGTCACACAACGTGGGCAGGTAGGTAAACAGCTGACGTATAATTTCCTCATGCAGGCTCAGTATGTGGCAGCTAGCCGAGCCCTTCTTTTCGGCCAGCGCCAGCAATCCAGAGATTCCAGACATTCTTTAGTGTCGTCGGCTCGCTTAACCCTTTACACATAAAATTTTCAATGCTTCGTTCTTGACAGGTCTCGACACTTGTCATCAAATACATGTTGGGAGTCTAACAAAGCATCTGATGAACACGTCTCGATTCTCAACGCTTCCTATGGCAGCCATCAGAAAATTGCGCCCGACAGCTGCAGCCAATTTTCATTCCTCGTCAGAATCAGGTAATAAACAATTTAGTTTTTGTTTTTGCTTTTGTTTGGCAACAATTAGCTGCATAATTGACTGCATAAATGCATAAATAAAAGCCAGCTGAAAACAATGAGAAATGCGAGTATAGGTTTACAGTTATATCCTACTATATAAATATGCACATTTCTATTTGTTGCCGGATAAACATTGTATTATTAATTTTTTTTGTTTACTTATAATAGCCTTGCAGAGGGCAATTAAACTTTGTCACCTTTAACCTCAGAAAGTATACACATATAAATATATATATATTTCGACCTATGTCTATATAGGATAAAGGTATTATTTTCACATGAATTTTCACCAAAAATAGTGTTGCCATATTTAGATGCCAAATCGATCTAGAGGCCAAACCATAAACAAAGAGCCAAACCTCGTGAAAATCGGATGAGATTTGACCGAGTTATGGGGATGGGAAATTTTGGCCTATGTCTAAACGATATTTGAGGGTACCATTTCCACATGAACTTTGACCAAAAATAGTGTTGCCAGATTTAGATGCCAAATCGATCTAGAGGCCAAACCATGAACAAAGAGCCAAACCTCGTGAAAATCGGATGAGATTTGACCGAGTTATGGGGGTGGGAAATTTCGACCTATGTCTATATCCGATTTTTGAGGGTACCATTTTCACATGAATTTTGACCAAGAATAATGTTGCCAGATTTTGATGCCAAATTGGTCTCTTGACCAAATTATGAACAAAGACACAAACCTCGTGAAAATCGGATGAGATTTGACCGAGTTATGGGGGTGGGAAATTTCGACCTATGTCTATATCCGATTTTTGAGGGTACCATTTTCACATGAACTTTGACCAAAAATAGTGTTGTCAGATTTAGATGCCAAATCGATCTAGGGGCCAAACCATAAAAAAAGAGCCAAACCTCGTGAAATTCGGATGAGATTTGACCGAGTTATAGGGATAGGAAATTTCGACCTATGTCTATACGATATTTGAAGGTACCATTTTCACATGAACTTTCACCAAAAATAGTGTTGTCAGATTTAGATGCCAAATCGATCTAGAGGCCAAACCATGAACAAAGAGCCAAACCTCGTGAAATTCGGATGAGATTTGACCGAGTTATGGGGATGGGAAATTTTGACCTATGTCTATACGATATTTGAGGGTACCATTTTCACATGAACTTTGACCAAAAATAGTGTTGCCAGTTTAAGATGCCAAATCGATCTAGAGGCCAAACCATGAACAAAGAGCCAAACCTCGTGAAAATCGGATGAGATTTGACCGAGTTATGGGGGTGGGAAATTTCGACCTATGTCTATATACGATTTTTGAGGGTACTATTTTCACATGAATTTTGACCAAGAATAATGTTGCCAGATTTTGATCCCAAATTGGTCTCTTGACGAAATTATGAACAATGACACAAACCTCGTGAAAATTGGATGAGATTTGCCCGAGTTATTTTTTTTATAAATTTTGACCAAGAATAATGTTATGTGAGTGTGTGTGGGCCTGTATGTGTTAGTGTATGCATGCATGTATGTATGCATTTATGAATATATGTTTGAATGTTTGGTTGTTTTCTAATCTTAAACGCAGACCAAGCTTATTTGCCGCTGTGCTGCAAATTTAAATATAACGAATTTCTAATACGTGCTCTCCTCCTCGATTCTCAAGAATTCAAGTAGGCTCTGCAGTTTTTTATGCTTAGCCAGTAGGGTAGTGTTTTTTTTTGGTAGTTTTTGTGTTTTTTGGTATTTTGTTGCATGCATGTATGTATGTACATATGCATGTATGTATGTATGTATGTATGTATGTATGTATGTATGTATGTATGTATGTATGTATGTATGTATGTATGTATGTATGTATGTATGTATGTATGTATGTATGTATGTATGTATGTATGTATGTATGTATGTATGTATGTATGTATGTATGTATGTATATATGTATGTATGTATGTATGTATGTATGTATGTATGTATGTATGTATGTATGTATGTATGTATGTATGTTTGTATGTATGTATGTATGTATGTATGTATGTATGTATGTATGTATGTATGTATGTATGTATATATGTATGTATGTATGTATGTATGTATGTATGTATGTACGTACGTATGTACGTATGTATGTATGTATGTATGTATGTATGTATGTATGTATGTATGTATGTATGTATGTATGTATGTATGTATGTATGTATGTATGTATATATATATATATGTATGTATGTATGTATGTATGTATGTATGTATGTATGTATATATATATATATATATGTATGTATGTATGTATGTATGTATGTATGTATGTATGTATGTATGTATGTATGTATGTATGTATGTATCTGTATATACAAACAAACATGCATACTTATATACACTAACATGCATGCATAAATATGCATACATATATCTGCACTCATATACATATATGCAGACATGCACACAAACATATACATATGCATGCATGCGTATATTCATATATGCAAAAATGCATACATAAATACATGTATGTATACATGCGTATGGAGTCAGTCAGTCAGGTCTTATCTAAACGTTTCAAGGGATTTAGTCACTTTAGTATTAAAGTTTCAAGTACACAATGAATTATTGCTTTTCACTGAGTATTTCCTTGTTGTGTTGATATATATTTAATTCAACATATATTCTACAATGGTATCATATATAAATTACACAATGGAACAACAGTTAGCGTCTTAAACAAACCATAATCTTTTCTTATATAATTTCAAGCCCTAAAACCCAAAATTTGAAGCTTTAACGAATATTTAATCGGGTATAGTTAAACATATTCTGGACCTTCAGCTAATATAAACCATAAACAAATTATTTTTTGAGATAATACTATATGGAAATTAGGAGAATCCTCATCGATGTTAATAACAATCGTAGCCAAATATGTTAAATTTATTTCCCAATTTCCTCTTTATAAGAGGAGAATTTGTTATTCATCGATCTATTCTGGATCTACACAATCCTCATTCTTTGATCATTTTGATTGCATAGTATAATTTAATGAACATATAATAAGTTGTGTGAGAATCATGTTCTTAATCTGCCATATACCGATATAAATAATTGAATATATTCCCATGTTCCCCACACTCAAATCCAATGCGTCAGCTGCATGGTGCCGTCGTGGGTCCGTTGTGTGTCCATGACGCTCATTTGGCGCACCAGGCGCTTCATGGAAGCCCGATGCGGTCTCCCAGTACTGCCATCGGACCCGCCACTGTTTTCCAGCGGAGTGCGTTCCGTAATACGCGGCTGCGGAAGTTGACGTCGACTGTCTCTAAGCTCCAGTTCGACCTCAGAAGCATTGTTGGAGGAGCCGCCCAATACATCGAGATTTTCATAGGAAGCTGGCGGTGAGTGGACATCGCTGCAAAAGCCCGATGCAAAGGTGTCCAAGAGATTATACAGATACATTCGACATACGACATATGACTTACGGCTGTGGCTTGCAGTGCAAGCAATCCTTAAACTGCCAATTCTTGCCAAACTCTTCCCCCTCCTCAATGGTCTGGGGCAAACGATGGTGCAGGGTTTCCGGCAAACGCAAGCCAGTCATGCCACCCAGCATCGATACAAAGCCCATAATTACCAACGGCAGCTTCAGGTTCTCCTTGCCCAGGTAAGTGACAAATGGTATCCCAATAAGACCCAAGCCACCAATGTAGCTTGAGGCACCGATGCCTATGCCGCGGACTTGCGTCGGATACAGCTCGCCGGCAAAGGGATAGATGATCAGAAATGAGGCCGAAAGGAGAGCCTTCGATATGAGATATAGGATTAATGTCTCTTCTATTGCGTCATCGGGCAGCATAACAGTTATAATGCAAGCGACTCCGCTAAATAAATTAATAAAATAACAAAAAACCCTCAACTTCAGAATTCAGAAATTTCAATTAAATTGCAAAAAGACTTATTCTAGATTTTCGCGAATATTTAAGTATAAAAAGAAAGTCAATTCGTTGCACTTGGTATTCTCCATATGGGGTTAATGAATCTAAAACTGTTGGTGTTAAAGATTTTAAAGAGAGGAAATTGTGTGTGAAATATTTTAAAGAAAGCACAGAACATTTTAATGGGATTAACATTGATTAATTCCTCACAATTTTTAGGGGAATAGGGGAGGTAGCCAAAAAGTGAAATACAAGAACTGAATTTTCGATCGATCGTTTAAGTGACAGTTATATGATATAGGTGGAATTGCTTAAAACTCCGGCGCACCTTAATTACACAAAGAACTACAGTAAAAATATAAGATTCCAAGCATTTATGGAACATTAGTCTACCTATTGGACAAATGACTGCACAAATTTATAAGAGTCGTAGCTGTGAGGATTAATGAAGATAGAAGTGTAAATAAAGTAGTCATAGACTTACCCCAATATCATTGAGAGACTGAGAGGCCAACGTCGACCCCAGGTGTCCATGAAGTACCAGCAGCACAGGTAGCTCGGCAGCTCCACCACTGCCGACAAGAAGAAGCTCACGTACTGATTGGTGCCAAGCGAAGGCCCGTAATAGCTGAGTCCCAAGTAGACGGTCTCATTTGCGAACCAGCTGAGCGTTATCAATATGGTCTTCAGCCGCATGTTGGGCGTGCGGCATAGATCCGCAATGCCTACGTTGGCGACCTTCTTCTTCTGCTTTTTCAGCTTATCTCTTCTGATTTGCGCCTCCAGTTTGCTGTGCACTGCCTCCGGAAACTGTTGACCATTAACGCGAGCCATGCTCTCCAGTATTCTGAGCGCCTCCTCCAGGCGGCCGCGCATAAGAAGCCAGCGCGGGGATTCGGGCATTATGAATATGTACAGAAAGTAGGAATA